ATAATAATGATGACATACACACCCATATCCTAGAAACCCTGTACCTTCGAGTGATAGAAAGCCAGAATGGGTCTGTTAAGCGGGAAGCAGACAGAGCCTGTGGACAGAACAGCCACTGCTGGTTTCATGACACTCAATGTGGCACCGAATGGATAGACAAAGGTGAGAGCCCTGTAAGAAATTAAAGAATCACATCCAAATATTTTTAAAAATGCATTTAAAAAATCTGAAAAGAATCTCAGTGTTTCTTGAGCAATAGTCTTTGATTCACCATTAAATACAAAATTTTTTCTAAGCCTTGATTTATTAACTCAAAAATTTGGACAACTCTAACTGTAAGTTAAATAAGGTATATTTTAAACTGTGAGTGTAAACTAATCGTATAGTGCAGATAATTATAACTGGAAGAACTAAAGTAGCCCTGATGGAGCAGGGAAGGGAAGGCCTCATCTAGGAAGTGACCTAGGGCTCTACGTGGGCCTGGTCTGCATTATAATGTCTTACAGGTAAATGTTTTCCTCTTCCTTACATTTGCCTGGTACAATCTCTAAAGTAAGGTCTTCTGTTGGAGAACAAGTTATCAGGTGAATGCTTATGTGAACACAGGTATATATGCACCCCACTTAGGCCACTTCTACTTAATGCTGGAGCCCCTCCTCTTCTCTCCACTGTCCTTACAAAGACTTCAGAGTACCCACAGTGAATCAGTCTGACCTGGAGCAATGTGCTTCTGGAGAGGGTGTGTGATCGACTACAGATCCTGGGGCGAGGTAACCCATGTAGGAGGGGCTAGGGTTTTGCTGAAAGTTGGAGCTCTGCAAAGGTAGCTGTTTGAAAGGAGTGTTCTCAGAATGGAGAAATACAGGGATCTTACAATTAGAACATAAAGTTAGAAACTATGGGGTGAGGAACATCATAGGGGAAGCACCCATGAAGAATCTCCAATAAAGATTTTATTTTTCCTCCAGACCATTTCCTTCCAGTGTTAGTTTTCCCCAGCTCTTCAGTAAAGACTCATTTTCCTGTCAGGTACAGAAGCAACACTTGCCCCACATTCTCCCTTCTCCCCCATCTGCCCCTAGCCCAACAGTATCCCAAGAAGTAGGAATGTATCCTGGCCCAGAGCAAAAGGAAATGAGGAAATGACCATCCAAGAGGAAGAAGAGGCAGGTAAGAGAAGCAGTCTCGCAGATGTCAATACAACCCCTCTTCCCCTACTTTCCTTAAATGCATTCAGGGGAGATAGGCTAATTGTATTCATTCTGTCAATTTTTCTTGTTCCTGGTTTTTATTTTTATTTTTAACTTGTTTGTTTGTTTATTTATTGGCACCATGGATTGAACTCAGGACCTTGCACCTGTGAGGTTTATTTTTATCTTTTGATGGTTAGTCTTTTCTTACTATTTTTTGAGACAGAGCCTCACTATGTAGTCCAGGCTGGTCTTGAGCTCACTATGTAGAACAGGCTGGCCTCAAACTCATGGCAATCTTCATGCTTCAGCCACCTGAGTGCTGGGATTACAGGGATCTGCCACCACTCCTGGCTTCTCTTACTCATTTATAAGACCTACGTGTGTTGCAAATATCTTTCTTGGTCTACCTGTTTACTTTGAGGTCTATTACTCCAGAGAAGCTGACATTTTCATGTAGTTAAGAGCTTGCTGCAGCCAGGCATGGTGGTGCATGCCTATAATTCCAGCACTTGGGAGGCTGAGGCAGGAGGATCACTGCAAATTCAAGGCTAGCCTGGGGTACACAGTGAGTTCAAGGTCAGCCTGAACTGCATAGCAAGATCCTGTCTCAAAAAACAACAAAAGACACCCAAAACAAGAGTATGTTGCAAAGTTCTAGTAATTTAAATAATACAGGGCCAGGGATTTAGCTCAGTGGCACCGTGCCTGCTTCGTAAGTGCAAGGTCCTGAGTTCGATCCCCAGTACCAAAAAAAAAAAAATAGTATTTGTGCAGAAATAGCCAACTTTTTTTTTTTTGGTACTGGGGATTGAACTCGGGTCCTTGTGCTTGCACAGCAGGCGGCAAAATCACTGAGCTAAATCCCCGCCCCAATTTGTGCAGAAATAGTAAAAAATTGCCAGACATGGTAGAGCACAGGTAGATGCGGCATGAAGATCACATGTTTGAGGAGAGACTGGGCTACATAGTGAGTTCAATGCTGGCCTAGACCACATAGCAAGACCCTATCTCAAAACAAATGACAAAAATAGTAAAATACAAATAATATAGATTAGAATCAGTCCAAATATATATAAGAGATGAGAGTTATTAGTATAGTAAAAAATGGCAGTTCAAATTATTGAAGATGAGTGGCATAATTTTGGCTATTTGGAGAAACATTTCCATTTTCATGCCACACTTCAAAATATATGCCAGATGGATTAAAAATATATTCAAAATGAAATCATAAATTTACAAAATCAAACACAGTTAAATATGTTATAATCTAGTGTAGGGAATACCTACTCCCAGGCATTAAAAACCAAAGAAATACAAACTAAAAGACAATGATACCAGGCTGGGGATGTAGCTCAGTGGCACAGTCCTCATCTAGCAAGCACAAGGCCTTGGTTTCAATCTCTAGTATTGGAAAAAAAACATTTTTTAAAGAACTAGATATAATTTTTACTAATAATCTGTGCTGGCTAGAGAGGAAAAGGGTGCATGTTTATAGGGATTGTAAGTGCTACCAGCTAACTGCAGGGTGACTTGGCAGTACAATATGCTTGACAATGAATCAGCTGGAAGAACTCGGACCCAGAAATTCCAGTATTAAGAATCGATCTTGGTGGTGATGGGGATGTAGCTCATCATGAAAGCCCTGTGTTCAGTACTGAAAAAACCAGAAAAAAAAATCAATCTTAATAAAATATTAGCACAAGCAAACAAAAATGTAAAAAGATGCTTACTTGTGCTTTTTATTTGTAACAAAGTGGTTTACAACAACAAGGTGGTACAGAGGTTCAAAGTACAGGCTCTGGAGAAGACTGCCTAGGTCTGAATCTAAGTTCTGATAGTAGCCATATAAATTTGGTTACTCATCTCTGTTGCTGGTTTTTTGTTTTTTGGTTTTTTTTTTATTTTTGGTACCGGGGACTGAACTTGGGTCCTTGTGCTTGCACAGCAGGCGGTGAAACCACTGAGCTAAATCCCCGGCTTTTTTTTTTTTTTTTCAATACCGGGGACTGAACTCGGGTCCTTGTGCTTTCGAGGCAGGTGGCAGAACCACTGAGCTAAATCCCCGGCCCCACATTTCTTGATGTATGTTCTC